CGGAGATTGATAACGATTTACTAAACATCGTAGAGACAACGGCGCACATCGCGCGCAGGGTGGGGGGCGTGTGAGTATGGGAGGCCGTGTTGATGATGACTGATCTCTCTAGCTTGCTCTACTGTAAGGACGTTTTGGCGTAGGTGAAACGAGCGGATCCAGGTCTCACGCGTCGTCTTATCGCTGAGGGGTCGCGTGGCAACGACGTACGGATGTTGCCGTCAGCCGCGGAAGTCTGAATCGCCGGAAAATATGTGGCAACCGCATAGTGTCGAGCGCGACGCCGATTCTGCCGCGGGAACACGCGCCGCGGCAGCGTACACTGCGTCAGTGACGTCGGCGTCGCGTCATGTCGGAACGCAGCGTCAGCGCGACCGCGACGCAATCATCTGCTCCTGCCGTGCAGCCCGCCGGCCGCCAGGTAGCACTGCCGTCGGTAGCGGATGAAAGGGCGGCTCTCTGGAGGTTGGCGAGAACCTAGGTGTGGCGTATACACGTTGAGACCTGGCATGGGCGGCGGCGCAGGCCGGGGTAAGGTAGGTGCCTGCGACCCCCGCCGCTGCTGCAGCGTTCAGCATGTAGCTGCCAGCTGAGGATCGGCGTACGGCCACGCGAGCGCCTACCGCTGTCCGTCTTATCCTTCATGGGCGTTCGGTTTTGAAACCACACCTAACAAACAAATAAACATATAAACAAAACAACCGTTAGTATTTGTGAGGCTGGCCATAGGGTCAAGGATGCGATGATACGAATCCAGCCGCCGCTGTAAACCGCGCATGCCGCTTAAATAATTGACACGCGGACGGCGGCGGGCGGCGGTAACTCGTAAAACGCGACTCGCTTCAATGTTTAACGGTTGCTATTTGTTAAATCGCCAACCGCGTCAGCGCAGCACTGGCGAGCCGAACACAGCACACCCGCACGAACGCACGACGCACGCACGCACCACACACGCACGCACACAACGCACGCACACACGCGCGCACGCACGCAACACACATACACACCCACACACTACACACACATCACGACACGCCACTATAGCACGCTCACTCGGCGCGCACACACCTCATCTCTCACACTCACTCAGCGCACGCACGCCACGCACGCACGCAACGCACGCACGCACCCACAACACACACGTACACGCGCACACACGTAGCACACACCAGCACACACACACACAACACACTACCACCACACCACAGGCAGCACGTAACACAACACACTCGACACACACAGCACCACGCACGCAGCACATACACACACCTCCAACACACACGACACACACATCACACATCACACACACACACACAGCCGACGCCACACATACACCACGACACTCACACACAGCTCACACTCACACACGCACCACGCACCACACACACACACACACACCACACACACACACACACACACACTTCACACACGCACGCACACATACACACACGACTCCACACACACAGCACACCTCACACTCACACACCGCACTCAACACACACACACAGCACAACACACACCACAACACACACACACACACACACACACTCACACGACAGCACGCACACATCCACACCCCCACAACACACACACACACACAGAACACACACAACACCACACGTACACACATCACAACACACACACAGGCAAGCACATACACACACACTCAACACCGCCGCACAACACAACACACACAACACAGAGAGCGCCGCCCCACAACACACAGCTCACACACACATTACACAACACACACACACACACACACATACAGCACAACACACCACCACATACACACACACACACACACACACACACACACATCACACAACCCACGCTCTTTCCTCCTCGCGTCGGCCCAGGAATCGCCGCTCGTCGCTCGTCAGACAGTGTAAGCGCCTAGCGAGCAGACCATGACCTACAGGTGAGGATGTAAGTCATCGATTATGATTGACTCCCTATCCTATTTTAATCGATTATGCGCTTATAATGAAAGCAGTAGCGCTATTAAGCATAAGCTTGTATTTAATTACTCCATGATTTGGCCGACATTTTCCCGCTGAAGACAATGGCCTGGGGCGGAAGCAGTAACCGACGGGGACTGACACCCCCCCCAGGAAGAGCAGGATAACAGGAATGACAGGATGTAATACTAATATATCTGTCATATAATAATATACACGTGCGCGCATATATATATATATATATATATATATATACACGCGCGCGCCATATCATATAGTATATTATGTATATGTATACTATATAAATATATAATAATTATGTATATATATATATATATATATATATAATGAGCAAACGGGCCCTTGTGGGGTTTAAAGAAGACGAGAACGTTCATCTCTTGCAAACCTATCGACTGAGTAGTTTGTTTGGCCTTGGTGATCAGTTTGCTTGTAAATAAAATGTTTTACAAGAGAACGCCTTATTATTACGCTTAACGCACTGCGCTTACTCGTGTATAGCGGCGGTTGTTGTCGCACAGTTTTGTACGCGAATCAAAAGTTCGTGTCGCACATAAAGACGTTACGTGTATGGGGGAGAAATAGCAGAGAGGAGCGGCTGGTGGAGCATGCTAGATGCAATTAGCTGATGAACGGGAAGACCGGACTGCGTGTGTGTGTGGACCGACAGCCGCACATAAATCAAGCCGTTGGCTATGGGCTGCGACGGCGCAATGAAACCGCCATAGATGAAAAACATCACTGAGACTCATATTATATTCAATTGGATTCATTTTCGTTCTGGCGAATTCTCTTAATAAGAACTCGCTGTGGACATAACGCGAGCACACGCAGCGCACCATACACAAACACAACACACACGCACACACAACACACGCACACAACACCACAACACACACACACACACACGGCAACACACGGACACAGCACACCGGACACACACACACACCACTGCACGCACACACACACGCACGCAACCACACCACACACCACCACACAGCACCATCACACACACACACACAGCACACACACACACACAGCACACGCACACACACACACACACACACAACCAGTTAAGCCGTGCCCGCGAGACAATACTAATTCATAATTATAAAATTCCATTGTCGTGCCTTTATGTGCTTGTGTGTTCAATCCGATTCTACTGCCCCGCCGCTAGCATATAATGCTAGCCTACTATGTAAGAGACAGATCGTAACCTATGCGTAGCAAGTCAATAGCATGTAGATTGCCCTACAGCACAAAACCATCAGCAAAACAATACAGGTCATAGGAAAGGGGGCATAGTTAAGGTAACTTGTGGCCTATGCGGTTGCAACTAACGTTTAGGTAAACGACGGGTATCGTGTAAACCTGTATGATATAGAGTCTGGGTTATTGCATGTCATGTAGGATATGAACGGTATCGTGTAAACCTGTATGATATAGAGTCTGGGTTATTGCATGTCATGTAGGATATGAACGGTATCGTGTAAACCTGTATGATATAGAGTCTGGGTTATTGCATGTCATGTATGATATAGAGTCTGGGTTATTTCATGTCATGTATGATATAGAGTCTGGGTTATTTCATGTCATGTAGGAAATAGAGTCTGGGTTATTTCATGTCATGTAGGATATGAGTGTTTTATATAGATTCCGTTATAAAATAATAATAAAATATATCCTATCGACTATTTTCGAATAAAAAACAACAACCGTCAGTCACAATAACTTGTCACAACTCAGAGTTGCTGTTTTTGTTTCATCTAATCGCATGGTACACGAGAATCTGTTTGCTATAGAGTATGAGTTATGTTGTGCCATGTAGGATATGTGTTATTATTAAATAATATAGGGAGTGTGTGTGTGCGTGTGTGTATACCCTATTATTATAATCTGAAATTGAATTTATCGAAAATATTTTAGAATAAAAATAACGACCGTGAGCTACAAATGGGCGGTTGACTGTTTCAATATCGCCAAACAATTAACTTTAATTGCATTTTACTCCTGTACCGCTAACTTGTATGTTCGCTGATATACTGACCTTGACCTTGTACTAAAGTGTTCTAAATTCCGTGCTTTACAGATTTAATTAGTGGGGATAATGGATATTGCGCCCCAGGACTTGTCTCTACACGATTACCAGACTGCTGTGTGGGATACTGTGTCGAAGAAGACGAAGAGGTCGTATTCAGGTACAGGGTTAGAATTAGGGTTGGAGTTGGGGTTAGGGTTACGGCTAGGGTTAGTATTAGGGTTAGGGTTAGGATTAGAATTAGGATTAGGGTTAGGGTCACGATATCAGGATATTATAACTTATATCACGACCTGCCATACAAAAACTCATCGTTATTCATATTCCAAAAATTGCACATTTTTAGACAGTTGTGTGCATGCGTATGCAGTGTGCGTATGTCTGTGCATGCGTGTGTGTGCATGTGCGTGGAATAAAAACTTAAATGCGAATGCCGTTATTTTACATTAATGCACTTGACACGGGGGAATCACATTAACCAAAGAAAGAGCTACAAACTGTTAACGCAACAATTTTTTGCCAACGGACGTATTTCGAATAGGTACATATCCGGTACTTACATATCGCTATTCTAGATACATGCGACTTGAAAGGGAGCATAGCTAGTCACTTAACTCAGAATTTTATTTACTATTATTATATAAAGGCGACAGGTTGTAATGTAAGAGTAGTCCCACGCTTCGCTAACCTAACCTGAACGACGGCTGGTTTAACAGCATTTTACAAACACGACTATTTTAACGCAACGCTTATGTGTGTGGCTGTTATGTGTGTTTGACATGAATTAAGCAGCAGCTGTCTACGGGTGAATGTACAGCGATATGCTAGTCAGTTCTCGTTTCAGCACTCCAGTGTTCGCCGCAATGTTTACCTATTTACTTGTGTGTGGCTCCCGCAGACTTGCACTACACACACACACACACACAGGATGTATATATATATGTGTATATATATATATACACGTGCGCGCATATATATATATATATATATATATATATATATACGTGTACTTGTTCTGAGTACATAGTAGGCGGGGAAAATGACGGTGAACTGCATATTCACTTATGAAATGTAAAGACGTATCTCATTGTTAACAATTATAACACTGTTCAACATAGAATGAATATCGTATCGAGGAGACAATTATATATGGATGAGTTAGATTGAGTGAGCGCAGTTATAACTTCTGTATGGCCTATAATAGTTTACTATACATACTATGCTACCTAGAGCAAACTATTGTGCTAATATCGAGATACAACAATTCCTTAGTTCTACATTCATTAACTCATTTATACAGACTACCACGATATTCATAACTTAAACGCTTACAGAATCAAAGAAATTTAAATCTCAAGATTGGAAATTTAAATTTTAAATTAAAGCGACGCGTTGCGGGTCGGAGATTGATAACGTATTTACAAACATCGTAGAGACAACGGCGCATGCGCGCGCAGGGGTGGGGGGCGTGTGAGTATGGGAGGCCGTGTTATGATGACTGATCCATCTCTAGCTTGCTCACTGTAGGACTTGTTGCGTAAGGTTGAAACAGCGATCCAGGCTCACGCGTCGTCGTTATGCTGAGGGGGCGTGGCAACGACGTACCGGATGTTGCCGTCACCGGCGGAAGTCCGGAATACGCCGGAAATATGTGGCAACCGCATATGTCGGACGCGACGCCGATCTGCCCGGGAACCGTCGCCGCGTGCAGCGTACACTGCGTCAGTGACGTCGGCGTCGCCGTCATGTCAGGACGCAGCGTCAGCGGCGACCGCGACGCAATCATCTCGCTCCTGCCGTGCAGCCCGCCGCCGCCAGGTAGCACTGCCGTCGAGTAGGGATGAAAGGGCGCTCTCTGGAGGTTGGCGAGACCTAGGTGTGCGTAGTAGTTGAGACCTGGCATGGCGGCGGCCAGGCCGGGGTAAGGGTAGGTGCCTGCGACCCCCGCCGCTGCCGCAGCGTTCAGCATGTAGGCTGCCAGCTGAGGATCGGCGTACGGCCACGCGAGCGCCATCCGCTGTCGCTTATCCTTCATGCGTCGGTTTTGAAACCACACCTACAAACAAATAAACAAATAAACAAACAACGTTAGTTTGTGAGCTGGCATAGGGTCAAGGTGCGATGATACCGAATCCAGCCGCCGCGCGTAAACCGCGCATCCGCTTATAATTGACACGCGGCGGCGGCGGCGGCGGTAACTCGTAAAACGCGACTCGTTCATGTTTAACGTTGCTATTGTTAATCGCCAACCGTCGTCAGCGCAGCACTGCGAGCAAACACACACACGCACGAACGCACGCACGCACGCACGCACGCACCACGCACGCACACACGCACGCACACACGCACGCACGCACGCACACACATACACACACACACACACACACACACGCACACGCACGTATACACGCACACTCGCGCGCACACACCTCACTCTCTCACACTCACTCACGCACGCACGCACGCACGCACGCACGCACGCACGCACCCACACACACACGTACACGCACACACACGTACACACACACACACACACACACACACACACAACACCACACACACACACACACACACACACACACACACACACACACACACACAACAACAAAGACACACACACACACACACACACACACACACACACACACACACACTCACACGACAGCACGCACACATACCACACCCACCACACACACACACACACACACACGAACACACACAACACCACACGTACACACATCACAACACACACACAGGCAAGCACATACACACACACTCACACACCGCCGCACACACACACACACACACACACACAGAGAGCGCCGCCCCACACACACACTCACACACACATACACAACACACACACACACACACACAACACACAACACACCACCACATACACACACACACACACACACACACACACACACACACAACCACGCTCTTTCCTCCTCGCGTCCCCAGGAATCGCCGCTCGTCGCTCGTCAGACAGTGTAAGCGCCTAGCGAGCAGACCCATGACCTACAGGTGTAGGATGTTAAGCATCGATATGATTCGACTCCCTATCCTATTAATCGATTATGCGCTTAATAATGAAAGCAGTAGCGCTATTAACATAAGCTTGTATTAATTACTCATGATTGCCGACATTTTCCCGCTGAAGACAATGGCCTGGGGCGGAAGCAGTAACCGACGACTGACACACCCCCCAGGAGAGAGCAGGATAACAGGATGACAGGATGTATATATATATCTGTATATATATAATATACACGTGCGGCGCATATATATATATATATATATATATATATACACGCGCGCGCATATATATATATATTATGTATATGTATATATATAAATATATAATATATATATGTATATATATATATATATATATATATAATAGCAACGGGCCTTGTGGGGTTTAAAGAAGACGAGAACGCTTCATCTTTGCAACCTTATCGACTGGTAGTTTGTTGCCTTGGTGATCGTTTGCTTGTAAATAAATGTTTTACAAGAGAACCCTTATTATTACGCTTAACGCAACCTGCGCTTACTCGTGTATACGGCGGTTGTTGTCGGCACAGTTTGTACGCGAATCAAAAGTTCGTGTCCAACATAAAAGACGTTAAACGTGTAATGGGGGAGAAATAGAGAGAGGAGCGGCTGGTGGACATGCTAATGCATTAGCTGAGACGAGCGATGCGTGTGTGTGTGGACCAGACAGCCGCACATAAATCAAGCGTTGGCTATGGCTGCGACGGCGCATGAAACCGCCATAGATGAAAACATCACGAGACTATATATATATCAATTGCGATTCATTTTCGTTCGGCGAATTCTGCTAATAAGAACTCGCTGTGGACATACGCGAGCACACGCACGCACCATACACAAACACACACACACACGCACACACAACACACGCAACACAACACCACAACACACACACACACACACGGCAGACACACGGACACACACACGGACACACACACACACGCACGCACGCACACACACACGCACGCAACCACACCACACACCACACACACACATCACACACACACACACACACACACACACACACACACACGCACACACACACACACACACACAACCAGTTAAGCCGTGCCCGCGACAATATAATTATAATTATAAAATTAAATTGTCGTGCTCTATGTGCTGTGTGTCAACCGATTCTACTGGCACCGCCGCTAGATATAATGTAGGCCTACTATGTAGAGACAGATCGTAACCTATGTAGCAGGCAATAGCATGTAGGATTGCCACAGCACAAACCATCACAAAACAAACAGTATAGGAGAGGGGGCATAGTTAAGGTAAACTTGTGTGCCTATGCGGTTCGCAACTAACGTTTAGGAAACGAACGGTATCGTGTAAACCTGTATGATAATTTCATTATAGAGTCTGGGTTATTTCATGTCATGTATGATATGAACGGTATCGTGTAAACCTGTATGATAATTTCATTATAGAGTCTGGGTTATTGCATGTCATGTAGGATATGAACGGTATCGTGTAACACCTGTATCGATATAGATCTGGTTATTGCATGTCATGTAGGATATGAACGGTATCGTGTAAACCTGTTGATATAGAGTCTGGGTTATGTGCATGTCATGTATGATATAGAGTCTGGGTTCATTTCATCGTCATGCGTATGATATTAGAGTCTGGGTTATTTTCATGTCATGTAGGAAATAGGTCTGGGTTATTTCATGTCATGTAGGATTCCGAGTGTTTTATATAGGATTCCGTTATAAAATTAATAATTAAAATATATCCTATCGACTATTTCGAATAAAAAACAACAACCGTCAGTCACAATACTCTGTCACCAACTCGAGTTTGCCTGTCTTTTGTTCATCCAATCGCATGGTACACGAGGAATCTGTTTGCTAATAGAGTATGAGTTTGTTGTGCCATGTAGCGATATGTGTTATCATTAAATAATATAGGGCCTGTGTGTGTTGTGTGCGTGTGTGTATACAGCCTATTATTATTAATCTGAAATTGAATTTATCGAAAATATTTTAGCAATAAAAATAACGACGCGTGAGCTACAAATGGGCGTGTTGCTGTTCAATATCGCCAAACATTACGTTTAATTGCATTTTATCGGACGCGCTAACTGGATGTTCGCTGATATACTGGACCTTGACTGTACTTAAAGGTTCAAAATTCGTGCTTTTACAGATTAGATTAGTGGGGGAGTAGATGATACTTGCCCGCGCCAGAGGACTTGTCACACGATGCCAGACTGGTGGTGGGATACTGTGTGCAAAGAAGGAGAGAGAGAGGCGTATTCAGGTACAGGGTTAGAATTAGGCGTTGGAGTTGGGGGTTAGGGTTACGGTTGCTTAGGGTTCCAGTATTAGAGGTTAAGGGTTAGGACTTTAGTGAGATGTGGATTAGGGTAGCGGTTCTACGAGTTATCAGCCATATAGTAACTTAGATTTATTCACGACCTGCCATACAAAAACTCATCGTTATTCATATTCCAAATTGCACATTTTTTAGAGCAGTTGTAGTGCATGCGTAATGCAGTTGTGCGTATGTCTGTGCAGTGCGTGTGTGTGCACTGTGCGTGGAATAAAAACTTAAAAGTGCGAATGGCCGTTTTTTTACATTAATCACTTGACACGAGGGAATCCATTAACCAAAGAAAAGCTACAAATGTATAACGCAACATTTTTTGCCAACGCCGTATTCTCGAATATGGTAGGAGATATGCGCGGTACCTTACATATCGCTATTTCTAGAACATGCGACTGAAAGGGAGCATCAGCTAGTCACTTTAATCAGAATTTTATTACTATTATTATTACTAACAGGTTCTCCCCGCCGCAGCCGCCTAAAATGTAAGAGTAGGTCCCCGCGCTTCGCCGCTAACCTAACCTGAACGACGCGCGTGGTTGAAACAGCGCATTTTACAAACACGACTACTTTTAACGCAACGCTTATTGTGTGTGTGGCTGTTATGTGTGTTTGACATGAATTAAGAAACAGGCAGCTGTCCTACGGCTGAATGTACAGCGATATGCCTACGTCAGTTCTCGTTCAGCGTCCAGTGTTCGCCCGCAATGTTTACTTATTACTTGTGTGTGCTCCGCTGCAAGACTGCATCTATCACACATCACACCACCACACACACACACACACACAACACTACAACAGCCATCACACAACACATCACACACCACAACACAACATACACACACACAACACACACACACAAACCACACACACACAACACAACACTCACAACACACCAACACAACACACCACATCACACACACACACACAACACACACACACACACACACACACACACACACACACACACACACACACACACATATATATATATATTTATTTATATATACATACACACACACATATATATATATATATATATATATATCGATGAGGAGTTTATGCGCCTGCGTGTGTGCGTGCGTGCGTGCATATGTGCGTGCGTATGTGTGTGTTTGTGTGTGTGTGTGTGCGCGCGTGCGTGCGTGCGTGCGTGCGTGTGCGCGCGCGTGTGTGTGCGTGCGTGCGTGTGTGTGCGTGCGTGCGTGCGCGTGCGTGCGTTCTTACCTTGATAGTGCTCTCAGACAGGTTTAGCTGGGCAGCCAGCTCGCACCGTCTTGGTCTAGAAACGTAGTTCTCTCTGTAGAACTCCTTCTCCAGTTTTCCTATCTGCTCCCTGGTGAAGGCTGTTCTATACCGACGTACGTTACTCTCCCCGTCGTGTTGACTCATCTGGTGGCTCGACTCTATAGAAGACACGCCACATGCAAATTAATATTATATATATATATTAATATATTATTTATATTTATATTTCTCTTGCATCTGCGCGGCGTAACAAATTTCTGCTTCTAGACGAAAGCATCAGAGATGAATTATTGCGTTTAATATGAGCAGGAATAAATAAAAACATTTTTTTATTCGCCAATGATAGGATATATTAAACACAAAGAAAATACTGTATACTAAATACTATGTCAGATTTTCGATTAATTATGATAGCCGTAAAACGTCGCTTGCATTAATTAATGACAGAAAAAACGCTGGAAATGGATCAAGATGCACTGCTAGATTTTTTTACGATTAAAGCTGTATCGAGCATGCGCAGTATTAACAAATTTATACGCTTTCATTCGCAATTGCCGTGGAATTCCGCAAGTGATCGTAACCATTAAACAACAATGATTACGCTTCACTAAACCAAATTAAGTAAATTAAATTTATCATGTATTTTTTATATCGGTGAGTAACACGGAGTAATGAAGATGTTAGAGTAGTTAGGTCATCGGAGGGCATGACACATCATCAGTTATCGATATCAATCAATAACCAATACCAATCAATAGCCGTTCAGACATAATAGCTCAAGTAGAACGAAATAGATTAATATAGAAGTAGTTCTCTAAAGAATTGATGAATAACATGCGAAATAACTTTATTAACATATAATCATTATTATTATTATTATCCTTAACTACGCTCAAGTAGTTCGTTATATATATAATAATATGCTATTATTATATAGTTATATAAGCCTACTTTCGAAGTTAAATAAATGAATAAGTAAATAAATAAATAAATAAATAAATTATTGAATACATAAAAGATATATAAAATAAAAATACTCTTAGCGTATAAAACGAGGAACGAGGCCATACAGTAGTATTGCACACACCCAGTAAGTTGTCACCTTAGTTGCACTTATCTATTAGCATATTCCTACACGCAATACCCGGTGAGAAATGGCCTACATCGCCCAAACACGAACATAAATACGCCAAAATCGGTTTTAGTAGCCGGGACTTTAGTAGTTGAGATCTACGGCGCGTCCGTATAGCATGTGTTTGAAGAGTTTCTGCGCCTTGGTCCATTGAGCGCCAAATGAAGATATATAAGGCTCTCTGAGCCACTTCCACATGCACATCGAATTTCCTAGAGTGCCACGGGTCATAAAATAAACGTCGGTAATAAATGAGGGCTTATTACCACGTTTTCATGTTGTTTCACACATCGGCGATACTTCGATCAGCGCCAAGGAAACCCGTCATTATAGAGCTAATAACGAGTAGAGTATTTCATCGGGCAATTTTCAGATAAACGTGTATTGCACAACAAAATTACGAGCTTCGTTTAGGCATTAACGAGACAAATGCGATTGGTCCGTCCGTCGAATGGCCGCCACTTTCCAACCGACCACGTCGCCGGACAATTATACGATGCCGTGGAGCGATTTTAACAGGGTCTAATAAATTTCGAAAACATTCGGATTACAACGATTGCGTTCTATATATTACGATGGACACCATAGCAACGCGAGAGAATCTACGAGCGACGCAGTAACGGTTACGTTTACATGCATGCATCAGCGTAAAGCTGATATATGTAATGTAACTCGTCAACGTTGGTCTCGTGGGTTGAGCGCGTTTATAGTCTCCTAGCCGCGAACAGCCACCAGATGTATGTACACGAGAGAGTTACGCCTAAGTTCGGTTAACAAAATGGGCAAAATTCGTAGTTTACGCATTGCGTTAGTGGAGCGATAGCTCTGGAATAATAAGATCAGATAACACACCCACACGATAAATAATTTTATGCGCATAATCTCAGACATAGTTCCGAGAACAACATCTAAGCAATCGTTGCATGTTTATTGACGCTATCGCTTCCACAGAATCGAGAAATCAAGCTGAGATAATTTGGTTCGGCAGCAGGGCAATTCACATTCACACTGCCTCGCGTAAATCGCGTGCGTCCGGCGGCGGCCGAGTGTTCTACACGCGATGCTCTTTACATACAATGACGTCGTCGCATTTACAAATGGCTAACGTTGAAAGGAAGCGAAGCACACTAAAGGTTCACACACAGGGAGTCGGCAGCCGACCGTAGACGTGTGCCGACATTCTTTATACATTACCCTGTCTCCGGTATGCACGCTTTGTGCTGGCGCTAATAAAAACAGACCACAAGGCAAAATGGACGCAAAGAAAACAATTACTGCTCGCTTTCCTTCAATTATCGCGCGCGCCGAAAGTGAAATACGTAGAACCATATACATGAAAGCGGTGCGTCTTTACAGTTTACCTTAAATACTACTAATGATCGAAATAAATCACGACTAATGTTGCCGTTTAAAAAGGAACGTATAAATAATTAAATTTACAATCGCGATCCATCCCGCAGTCAGCGCGGACAACGGACGGTCGACAGCGCAGATGGCGGAGCAAAATTGCAACTTATTATCTGTCCGTAACGAATGTGACTTCTCGCCGCTTTAAGTGTCGTCATTAAAATGTATCATTACGTTCGTACACAGGTGTTCGCGCTTGTCGGCCCATTGAAACGCCTCGTGTACCACCTCCATGGTGTCTCATTATCATCGTCCACCTCTCCAGCGCACCGCCACTATGGCCGGAGCGCGGGGGGCTTTGTTCGTACGCCTGTTCCGCGCGTATATCCTTTGCTCTCTCTCTGGCTCTCTCGCGCTCTCTCTCTCGCTCTCTCGGCGCGTTCATAAGTCAGTCAGCGTGCTTTGTTCGCGTGACTGTAAGTACGTAGGTGGACGCGTGTGTGTGTGTACGTGCGCGTTATGGGACCGTGTCCCGTAAGAAGGACGGTGTAGTCGTGGTGGGTTGGTGGTTTATTTGAGCGCGCGGAACATAGAGACGATAATTGCCACTTGCCATCTATATCTTCCTCGTGTCACATCAGTCAAATTTCTCACGTGGTGATATATATATATATATATATACAGGCCCGTAGCCAGGGGGGGTTTCGGGTTTGAACCACGAACCCCGCCCCCGATCCCCGTCCCCCCCCACAGCAATACGAATAACTAAATTTGAAATTACAAGCAATTTTCACCTCAGCTCACTCCATTTTATTGTAATAATCTGCAAAATCTCCATCGTGCGGACGGTGATCTCACCAGTCAACAATCCATCCTCTCGCGCACACCTCCCCCCGCTCGGTCCGCTTTGCTCCCTCGCCTAGGTCGCTTCGCGCCGAAGCCTAGGGCGTGTAACAGGTCGGTCCAGGGAGCTCCGGACCCACTATGCTCCCGCGCCAGAAAACCTATCTGAGGGGGTGAATTTTTTAAAACATTTTCTGGGGAGGCCCCCCATACCCCCCCTATCGCCGTGCCCACTATGGGCTACGTTAAACCCCCTATACAAAATCCCTGTACCACGCTCCTCTCCCGACAAATTGCCAACAAATTGAAAAACGAAACCCCCGCGCCTATATAGAAAGCTGCTACGGCCTGAATATAATATATATATATATATAATATATACGAGAGAGAGAAGAGAAGAGAGAGACAGAGAGAGCGAAGAGAAAGAAAGAGAGATTGAAAAGAGCCAGAAAGAGCCGCGGCGCGAGAGCCCGCAGAGATAGAGAGATGAGAGAATAGAGAGAAGGAGAGAGAGAGAGAGAGAAGAAGAGAGAGATCGCGAGAAGAAGAGAGTTTAAGAGAAGAGAGAGAGAGAAGAGAAGAAAAGAGAAGAAAACAGAGCGGGAGAAAGAAGCGAGAGAGTGACACACACACCACCACATTTCACACACACACACAACACAGCACACACCGCATTATGTGCGAGCTACAAGCTACACACACACACAACATTACAGCACCCATCACACACACTACCATCTGTTACAGAACACACACAGCATCACAATGCACACACATACCACACATGTCGCTTCGTATCACCACACACACACACACACACCACACACACATCACCACATACATACATTAACATTACAATACATACATACATCACATTAACATACAATACATACAATACACACATTACACACCACTATACAACATACATACATACATATCATACATATCATACATAACATACATAACCATACATACATACATACATACATACATACATACATACATACATACACAACACCATACACATTCACACACACACACATCACACACACACAACACCAAATCGCGCGCGACAACACACATACATACATTCAATACACACAACACACATACAACACATCCATATCACTTCACGTACAGCACCACACACGTACAACACACACCACACACACGTGCCGCGGCGGGGCGGGGGGGGGGTAGAGGGTCCCAGCCACTCAGCCGGAATCGCACGCTCAGGTGTGGGCGCAGGGACGCGCCCGAGGGTTGGGCAAGCAGGAGACAGAGTTGGCGGGGCGAGACGCGAGAGGGCTCCGACACAGCCAACGCAGCGCGAGCGACGAGCGACAACGGGGTGGGCCATCGAGTAGCGCACCATAGCAAGATCGTGTGTTACAGAGGAGGCGCCAACGGTGGCCTCTGGGGCACCCACCACGCATACAATACAACTACACTACGAATACACAACATACACTACTATACACGATCATGGACATACAGTAGCATACATCATCATACATAGCATACCATACATACACATCTGATACACATGCCACACAGGTGAGATGAGAAGAAAAGAAGAGGAAGGGAGAGAGACGAGCTGGCGCTCAAAAGTAGGAGAGAGATAGAGAGAAGAGAGAAGAGAAGAGAGAGAGAAGAGAAAGCAGAGAGAGACAAAAGAAGAAAAGAGCAGAAGAGAGAAGAAGAAGGAGAGAAGAGGAGAGAAGAAAGAAGGAGAAGAGAGAGAATAGAAGAGAAAAGATGAAAGAGTGATAGAAGGAGAGAGAAGTAGAGAGAGAGAGAGATGAGACGAGAGAAGAGAAGAAGGAGAGAGAGCAG